ATTGAGACCCTCAAGAAAAARCATAGCAATTTATTTGTTAGAAATAGAAATAACTATTACTACTGTGTTGGGCAAATAGATTTATCTTCTTTAAGTAGCTATGGCAAGTGAAGGTATTTTCCATGAAAGGTGAAGCACTTGCTTTAGTAGATGGCATGCAATTTATAGCCAACATACTCTTCCATTGTACAGGGGAGCTAGTATTCTGCCAGTACTAGAAACAAGAGAGCTATATTAAAAAGATAGGCAGGGCAAGGGAAGAGCAGAAGTAGAATTCACCTGTTTTCATTGTTTTGCATTACTACATATAAACTAGTGTCAAATTTTGCTGTAAATGAATTAAGGAAATGGTCTTAGTTTAGAAACTGTTCTCAACTGGTAAGCACTAAGGGACTGCATTCAGTCTGTTGTCAGTATTTCATGGGAGTGCTTTATTATTCAAAGACTTCCGTAAAAAAGAACTGCTAATACATCTTGTTGGGATAAGGCAAGCTTAGAAGAATCAAAATTAGTAATCCTAATAATAAGTCTTTATAGTTGTCTAAAAATCAAACAGGTTTCAACTGTTAAAAAATGGGCTACAGAGTTAGTAGCTGGATGATTTTATTATGATGGAATGGGTAGACAAGTTTGTACCATTCAGTACAACAGACATTTGGCCTAGTAGAAGTTTTGCCCGTATCCCTAGACTCTTCTTTAAAACACATAAATATAATGCAAAAAACTGATCTTCCAAGATGAATAGCCACTGAAACATCTCTTGTAATAACAGTTAATAAAAGGTTAGTAACGTGGCTTGTAGACTCATCTATTATATGTTAAGCACTAGTTCACTTAACTTGTTTTACTGGATTTCTGGAATTCACGGTGAACTACTCAGTTTTATAATGGTAACTGGATGTTTTTTCAGCATGTGTATGCCTGGACAATATAACTGGGGGGAGCAAAGACCTGTCACATTTGCCTTCTTGGATGCTGTTTTGCATATGCTCAGAATTTGCCCATCTTCTCACCAAGAAAGAACAGATAGATGCATGGTGCATTTCTCAATATTTTCTGGTCTTCAAATGTTTCATCAGAGATAGGATTCCTTTAACAAGTTACCAGAGACACAGCATGGTGATTGATTGGTACAGAGTATAATTAAGACATCATTATAGTGAGCTGTGTTGCCAAGGCAGCCACTGAAGCAAAACTTCTTATCTTTTGAAAAGATGAAAGTTTCTTGTGCTGGACTGTTGCTTTTATAGTCAGCAGCTGGAAACAGGCTGCAGGAATGCTGATGGGAGAAGGGACAATGCATTCATCTCGCTGTTCAAAATGACATATTACCTTTTCAGTACAATATGGCAGCTCATGGTGGTTTTCACATTGTTGTCTCTATTACGAGCATTTGTAAACTCAGGGTGTACCCTAACCATGTTGCTCCTACTGACATCAGTGGGGTTTGTATGGGCTGTGATGCTGGGAGATGGGAGTAGCTCTGTTACGCTGAGTTATTTAAAGGTTTTCAGTATTCAAATAATTCTAAGTGTTTCATAACTTTTGTTTGTAAGAGTCTCTACCAAGATTTGATACAAAATCAGAACCATTCCACTGCAGGTAGTTAAAGATCCAGTACCTTGATTTTAACATTTGTGAGCATTACATTGCAAATGCTGATACACAAGCCATCTTTCATCCCTTTCTATTTCCTAGAGAGAGCAAATTGCTGATTTTAACAGGCTAGCACCGAAAGGAGAATTCAGARAACCCATTTGATGGAAAGAAACCACTGTAGTTGCAGGACATAAGACATACCCACTGCAATTGTTGCTGGTTTTCGTAGTAACAAAATGTAATCCTACAGTTTACCAGCTGGCTGTTTCTGGCTGTTAGCTGTGCTTGATCCTGCTAATGGCTGTAAATCCATCCTACCCATGTCTTCTTGGCAGCTTGGTCCAGAATGCTAGCAAACCAAAATGCTGAGAACTTCCTTTATTTGTCTCTAGAGCACTGTGAGGAATTTCTGCTCAGAAGCCCAATTTTGCAGTATTGTTCACACGAGGCCCAGTGACTGATTGCATTGCATTAACTCTTTTTTTTGTCTCGCCTCTCTGAACATGCCCTCAGAAGTAGCTTTGGGTCATGGCGCTTCTCTCCCTTAGTCATTCCAGTGAACAGAAATTTTATTAAATGCATCCATTGTAATTCTGAAACAAAAAAATATTCTGAATCTGAAAACTGTAAGCACAAACTATGGCTTTGCCAGTGTGAGGAATAAGTGTTTTTTTAGGGAGAAACAATGTCATCTATTTAGCCAACTGTTACAGTTGGAAGAAGTAGAGAGTTTTGATTTTTGAGCCTGAAAGTTTTTCAAACTGTATCAGCTAGCCTCATCAAATATATTACCTCTCCCTATTGTAGTCTGCCTTCTGTTCTTAATCCTTTATGGCTTCAAGAATAGTAGCCAACACCGACTGGAATGGCCTGTGTGTTATTCGCTGGTATGTTAAAAGCTAATTTAAAAAGACATTCTTAGGCAAGTTTGGGAAATAATTTTTACCTCCACCATCCCTGGAAGTATTTAGCAGATGCATAGATGTGGCACTTAGGAAYATGTTTTAGTGATGAACATGGCAGTGCTGGTTTAACAGTTGGACTGGATGATCTGAAGAGTATTTTCCAACCCAAACAATTCCATTATTCTGGGAAATATGTATAGGTAATGTTCAATAATTCTGTTGCACAAAACACCTTTGTATGTTATGTTCCAAGAAAAGAGTCATCAGGGGAAAAAGTAACTGATCTAAGAGAAGAAAATTATTTTTACTGGTAGGTTTAAATAGAGCTGGGAAWTGCTGTGGTGTACCTTGGGAAAAAGGAGAGGTTCTCCTCTGTCATATGATGTGGAACACATACTTTACCACGTGACTGGAGTCCAAAAAGGACACTGGGACATAGCAGTTCACTGTTGGCACATCCACCTCGGGGGTCTAAAGATGTTATTAAGGAAAATGCACTTATTGTTGATTTTCTCCTTGAGCATCAAAACACGTAATGAAASCGACCTTCTCTTATTCTAATCCTCTTAAGATATTAGGGTCTGGTCAGTAGACTGCTTCTGACTGTTTCATCATGGGGTCCTGTGGGTGATACAAGCAGACAAGTACCGCCTACTAGTAGTTAATATGCTAGAAAAGCAGACTTCAGGTTTTTCTGGTCACAGTGCTGGTTAATGCTGGGTTTGTAGAATGCCCTAAAATACGTGTGTATCTGAAGACGAATCATTCCTATCTTCCTCCAGGGCTGGCTTTTTAAGTATGAAGTGTGATTCGGTGTGTTTCCAAAAACCCATTAAGACATGTGTTGAAAATATCCTAATCAAAATGATCTTGTTAAAATATTTGGTTTATCTTAATATTCAGTAGTATATAATTCACTACCTGGATGAGTTTTTCTGTTGCCAAATAAAGCCATGGTTTTTGTTCCTTTGCCAGAATAAATCCTTTGMGCCTTTATCAAAGTGAAAGGGCAATAACCTGCTAAACAATATGAAAGAATTAGGTGATAAAGCATTACAGCAAAAAATTAATTTAATAAGTACACGTTTCTCAAATTGTACTTTGATTTTGAAGTGAATGCAGAAGCGTTTCTCAACAGTGATTTGATAATTGTTGTAAAGTATTAACACATTTCCTTTATTTCAAAATCTCGATGTGAAGTATGTTTTTAAATTATACATTTTTAAATTCACCAGAAGATCAAACATCTAAATTAACTATGCTGACTAAAAGCATATATTCYGTAATGTGAAACAGACTGTGAGTAATAAGAACTAGATGGAGTAGGAATAGGATGCTTACCCACCAAAGTTCAGATAACTTATTTACCTTGTAAGCTCTCCACAGCTGGAAGAAATAAAGTTATCCAAATAGTACTCAAAGTAGCTGGAAACTATAAGCGCTGCTACAAATGCATAGATATGTTTAAATTGTGTGGAGTTTTAAATTGCTGTATAATGTTTGCAAAAAATATGTAAGTTACTCTTAGTTTTATTTTAAGAATCTACAGAAATTTTGACATAGTTGTATGAGCTGTATCTTCCACACAGGATTTTTTTAATGCAATTTGTTTACTGTCTTGGTACTTCATGAAAAGCAATTATAATGATACTGTGGGGCATGGGGGAGACAATGGAAAACAATGAAAATACATTTTAAGAATAAAGGGTGTAACATGAAATTTAGCCTAAAACATAGCTTGAATGAGCTCTGAACAAGCTGATACGGCTGGTAGTTTCTTGTACCAGGAACTACCGTGGAACCCCACCAGGAAGTGTGCTACAGAGCAGGATCACATTACACCCTTGTTTTATGGTTCATTTCACTTATTTAATGCAATTTGAGTACCTGTAACAAAAGAGCACTCAAAAAGAGAATGTTTATTATTTGAAAATACATCATTTCTGTAAGTCAGGTTGGGTTTTGGGGGCACCYGATGTGCATGTGTGAGGCAAGGCAAATCAGCACGACCATACAACAGGCTTTGCAGCAGAACCAAAGGTTTCCATATTCATGAAATTTTGAGGATGATACAGACACTTTGTATCTGTTTGCTTTTGTCTGTCTTCTTTAGTACATCAAGCGTACTACAATGCTACAACAACAAAAATCATAGTAGTTTTCCTTTACTACTGCAAGTAATTTTAATGCAGTACAGTGGTTTATTAAAATTATGTCGACTAAAAGTGTTGTTTAGTGTTCCAGCTGATTTATAGAGCGTGATAAAACATTCCAAAATCTCTGGAAATGAGGAACATGCTACAGCCTGTTTTTGGTTTGACAAAGCTGTGTTCGTACAAAAGAGGAATGCTTAACGTGCTCACTAGATAATGATTCATCACTTCTGGCAGAGGAACTAATTTTTATTAATGCAGTACTTAAAAATGTGTGGAATGAACAGCTGGATGCCACAGTTGTGGCATGCCATATTAAGTCTCTGTCTGTTTTCCCCTACAGTGATCTCAGTATGAACAACATTACTAAGCTGCCCTCAAACCCTGTGCACAATCTCCGCTTCCTGGAAGAGCTGTGAGTATCATTGTATCCTTGATGGGCATGGTCAGCACTGGACACATTCCTGTGTTTGTCTCTCATACTTACTGTGGGAACCAGATAAAAYGGTGCAGGAAATCTGTCAGCCTGACACTTTTGGCACATGCGGAAACACTTAGTTGAAAAAAAAAAAACCCAACAATTGCTTGTGATTCTGGAAATGAACTTATAAAAGAGTTACCATGAGGCTACAACTTCTCTAAGCAGAGACAGAGCCAAACAAATTAAAATTTTTAAACAAGGACTGTTTAAAAGAKCTGGATTGCTTTTTGGAAATAGTTAAGCAGCAGGATATTAAAAGTTTGAATACTGGCTCATGTTTATTAAAAACCCAAGTAAAGCTGTAATCAAAACCAAAACCTGCTGCCTTGTTCTGCCTGTGTCAAGGACAATTGAGTCCACATTTCATAGCATCAAGGCTTCTTGTCCTAATCACTTTTAATTACTGTTTCCCTGCTCTTAAACTTAGCATCCCTGAAGGCTGACTGTAGAATGCAGAATCCTGCAAAAAGCTTAGTTACGCTATCTACTACATTCACCGGGGGGGAAAAGTGCAGTGTGAAAACTAGCTGATCAAGCACAACATCAAAAGAGGAATGCTGGCTTGAAGTGATGGTGACTAACCAAAAGTGAAAAGTATTGTGCATTCATGAGACCTGGATTTGGCAGTGACTCTATAATGGCCCAGGCTTAAAAGAAAATTGAGGTTTCTGAGGAATGGTGGAGACTCTATATGCACCGTAGATCTTGTGGAAAAAAAAAGCTGGCGCTTGTATTTGCATGAGTACCTCTAAATATTGATTTAAAGCATTTTTTGWAATGGGGTTTTTAAATTTTTAGAAATGAAAACCTGGGGTTTTTTTAAATATACTTAGCTGCTAACAAACCATAAAATCCATGTAAGATATGCAAAGTCATGGTGCTACCCTTCTTGCAAATTCATGGTCTGTTTTAAGCTGTGGAATGTGAACAGTCCTCTGCAATTTAGGTGGGTCTTGCACTGACAACTGTTGGTGTCCTTACTAATTTGATTTTTGTCACCCAGTCTTTAAAGCCAGCCCCTATCCAAAAAAAAAAAAAAAAAATTAAATCATGACCATTTTGTGTGCTACCTTTGGACAATACTCTTATTTGCAAGCAGGTTTTCCTTTCCTGTCTTATTTTTTAATGCTCAGCACTTAAAGCTTCATTTCATTTCATCCTTTCTCTTTACTTACTCCTTTTCCGCCTTGCCATTATTTCAACTTTCCAATAATGTAACAGATAGGAACATAACATGGAGAGATGTCACATAGCAKGTATTAACAGTACCAAATGCTTATGAAGTGAACCATGTCACAAAGCCCCTGCTTGTGAAGTTCTTCATCATGTTCATGTTTGCTTGTCCAATCTTCTATCAATTGTAATAACCCTACTAAAACCTTCCAACATAATTGCTCTCCAGCCATTAAAGAGAAGAGCAAAAGTTTGGGCTTTTCCTGGAAGGAAATTCTAATACAGCCAGATTACCTTCACTCTTTATTGTTAGATCACAGAATGACAGAATCAATTGGGTTGGAAAACAGCTTTGAGATAATCAAGTCCAACCTATGACCTAACACCACCTTATCAACTAAACCATGGCACTGAGTGCCACATCCAGTATTTTTTAAACACCTCCAGACTCAGTGACTCCACCACCTCCCTGGGCAGCTAGATGACCCAGACAGTAAGACTCAAGTCACAGCCTGAGACTGTTCTGTGGTCTTTGTCATCTTCCTAAACAAGACCTTTGAAAGCATTCCTATCGTCTCCTTGAGCTGGGCCTACCTTTTTCACTTTTTAAACCTTTATTCTTACAATAAAGTTCCAAATTAAGTAATTCCAGTCTTTCATTGCAGGTAGTACCAGCAAGATTTTTTTTTACCATATTTTGTTCTACATATACATAGTCAATTCTTCTATGTTTCACAAGAGCAAATCACTTCTATTTCTCATTAATTCAACGCTGTTTTGTGAAATCCTTCTAGTTTGCATTTACTTTTAAAATAAGCTTTAAAAATTGAAGCCTTTGAAGATGTGAGGTGATTTCTTGTGCTGGAAGATTGTTTGGCGTTCAGAGGTATGCAATACAATTCAGCCTAGTTTTATATAGAAAAAGGCATAGATATTGGAAAGGGAATTTTGAATTTTATTTGGTTTTGAAGTGAGGGAGAACAGCCATTGTAGTTCCCATGCTCCCCTATATTAATTTTTGAGCAGTGATTATACATATAAAAATTATTTTTCCCATCCAGGCATTGCCATGTGTTGGGTTTTTTTCCTAGCTTACCTGAGAAATTAAGTTTAGTTTATGTGGTGCAGTTAAAAGGTGCTCTTGAAAAATATAACCTAGCCATAATGCAGACATTGTTAAAATAATATTTTATGAGATCTTTACCAAAGCAATGTTTCATAAAATTAAAATCCATGTTAGAATTGTCTAGTACAGCAACAGCAGGAGCTTGAAATGCAGCTTTTAAGGTTTTCTAGTATTTAAAAAAGTGCTACTTAACTCCTTTATTAGAGATCTGGTTCAAACATCTGATAAAGGCTCATGATTGAACCACTGAATTTTAGCTTAGTTGTTACATCCTCAATGCCTGCTTTGGCAATACTATTAAGTGATTATCCCCAAAGAACTGAGGTTTTATTAAAAGTTAAACTAATTGTTTTGACTCCAAASCAGTGATGTATAAGACAGGTCTGTTCAGCCAGCTCTGACCTTCCAGGCTGAATCTGATCCACTAATACAGCCAAGGGTAGACACGTTTACATGCAGCATTCTTGCAAACCTGATGATCATGCCTGGTATTTGTTCTTAACCAAAGACTGTGGTCACTGAAGTAAAAGATACTGAAAGTATTTTTGAGGTGCATGTTCCCCTGGAAATTTTGGGAAATGTTGTAGTACTTGTAACTTTATAACTCTCAAAAAATTTAATTCTGAGGAAAACCTTGTAGTTCTGAAAAAGATGGGCCTTTCAGATTTCATTTTCTCTTAAAGCATATATGACAGAACTCCCACCAAGAAAGAASTATGTTTCAGCTGCTTGATTATCAGCAAGTTGCTCTGTATGAACTTGTACAATGCTATTAAGTCAAATTCTTAATTATAAATTCAAAATAATCGCAGATATTTATCAGTCTGACTGAGTCCAAGACTCAGTCTCATGGGGATTATTTCAAGACAGATGTCATTATATAATGTGTAGAATGCCTCTTCTAATAGAGCAGTGACTTAAATAGTGCATGGGAAAAAAGGGTTTTTTTTTAAATGTAAAGGCTTATGCAGGATGGGACTTTTAAGTGTTTTAGAGGCAACTACATCTGAGTGCAGACCTAACATCTTGTGATTAGTTACACTTCAAAGCAGTGCCTGAAACTATTTTATTTTATAAATTAATGTCTCAATGAAAAGTGAGGAAGAAAGCCAATAATAATTTAAATCTATTTGAATCAGACCTACCTACAAAATCTCTCCAGCTAGATATATATCCACATATATGTACATATGCATAAATATATGCACAGACACCCACGTATGCACACATATAAGGCTTTCATTTTAATTTTAAACATAGGAACATTTCATGGATAAGAAAAGCATCGAATGATTTTTAGGAAATTGCTATTTTTCAGCAACTTAAAATGGGTGTTTTAGTAAAACAGCAACAAAGGACTGTTATATTACAATTACTTTACTATATAGCAGGACAGTCCCAAATAACCTTTTTTCTAAAAAATCAAGCAATGAAGTCACCCTAAATTAATTGCAATCTACATACAAGTGCAAGAATGTTTTCTGACACTGATTATTTTTAAATAATCTTAAAACCAAATATATCTACAAAGTTTTTGAGATTGATTTTGGCATCATTAGAGTAGTCTATCAGACAAAAGTGCCATTAAAAGTACATTTTACTGTAATACAGAAGTGCAGAATTGCAGATACAATACATAAGAGATGTGTTGWGTGAATCTTACGATGATTTGTGTTGAAATCCCTTTACACTGTAGAAGTGGTCAGAAGTCCTAAATTACCATGCACAATCCGTTACCAGATGTTCTTATTTATTYTTTTTCTTTTCACTTCTCTCTCTGTTTGTACTTTCTCCCTGCAAAGAGGTTTTCAGAGTCTTGATGGGAATTAGGTGTTCCTTTTCCCCACCAATTTTGAATCATGGGAYGGAGGTCTGTGGTCTTGTGCATTTTTGAAAACTGAGAGCATTTGCTCTTGGGGTCCAGTACAGTGTTTTTGTGCTGGTGCAGGCACATTGTGACTAGCACTGAAAACAGATTCTGTACTTTTAACTATAATGTAAACTGGCAGAAAACATGAAAATACTGTAGTCATAGCCCAAAACGTTTTTGAGAAAGTGGGGGGAATCTTGGAATGTTATCATTAAATTTGGAAAGGTTAATCTGTACAAATTTAAAAATATCAAAGGCAAAAGAGTAAAAATACCAACAACTGACATGCAGAACTAAAATTAAAATAGAGTATCATCCAGTGGTCTCAAACTGTCCACGCATTCCAATGTCACTTCTATACCAGTTTTACAGTTCTTGCCCAGCTGGGTTTAGTGGAGCTGGTCCTGGTGGAAATTGGTTTGTGTCACCTGCATCAGCTTAARTTTCAAGAAGTGTCACTGCTAAATGACTTGTGAACTGTTGATAATTTCAGAGYAGTGCAAAATCTAATACCTAAGTTGTGAATTCAATTTCTTCATATAAACTGCCGGTTTGGTTTCTTCACTWCACGTGTGCATCCGTGTGGATCAGACTGTGTCACTGTGCTCAGTACATGGTGRTTGTCAGTGACAAGTACCTGTCACCAGCTCAACAAGTGGCCCGTGGCACACTGTAAATTCTGCTGCTGAAAGRCAGACTTTGTTGATTCCTGAGACTGTAGTTTCCCAAGTTTGCTTTGGTACAGGGCTGCATTCAAAATCCTGA